TTTTTTCTTTTTCCATTTTTATTTTATATATCCCCTCCCCTCCCTGGGAATTTCTTGCATGACTTCTGACAAGTACATTTCGCCCTCCCCACCCTTCCCCCCGTTTTATCATTTCGAAATCCCCTTTCTCTTTGTTTGTACAGTTACCAGAGATGTAATATTTTTTGTAATGTATTTTGGGGAAGGGGCGGCCGTGGGGAGGGTGTGGGGGCAGCTGGGAGGAAGCCTGGCAGCGCTACCCCAGGAGCTCTCTTCATCCCAAAATGCGGCTCTGTCTGCCAAAGCCGAGGTGGCCTCCCCTGACTGCGTGGAAGCAGGTGGATGCTCTGCGTTCCTTTGCAGAGCTTGAGAAAGCACAGAGGAGTTGCCATGCTGGGTCGGGCCAGCAGACCAGCTCATCCTGTCTCGTGAATCCTGTCCTGCTCTCCTGCGATTGGAAAATATGCCTTGTCTTCCAGTGGGCTCCGATACAGACTTAGCACTAGCGTGCCGCTCAGCCTGGCCCCCGGACTCCGCAGCTAATACTCCAGGAGTCCATCGATGCCCGGGCAAGCGGGGCTGTGCCGCTGCAAATGATACGCTCGTGCTGGCTGGCGCATCGCAGGGCACCCGCTCCGATGTAGAAGAAGGTGACTTTCAGAATCCAATGCCCTTGTTGGCTTGGAGGGGGAAGCCTCCCCCCCTCCCTTCTTGGTAGCAGATGCAGCTAGAACTTGCCAGGCCTAAGATCGTTCAACGCAGCCCCCGGGGCCTGCCTCACCTCAATCTGGTTGCTGCAGGCCCAATCTACATACCAAAAAAAAAAGCGAGAAACAGGCCCTCCCCGAGCCCCAGCTTTTCTTGACCTACAGGAATGAACAGTGAGCGGGGTGCGGACCCCCCCTTGCCCGGTCTAGCGCAGCGTGGAGGGCTGTGGATCATTTGGGGTGAATAGAGCTCCACCTTGGTAAGTCTTATTTTGTTAATAAATGAATACTTGGTTATATTCACCCTGTGGTGTGTTCTCTCTTCCATTCTCTCCTCCCACCTCACCCCTCCCATGGCTCTGTAGGGGTAACCTCCCCGAGTAAGGCAGTGCCTCTGCAGAAGCCTGCGTGGCCTGCACGCAGTGAGAATGCTTCGCTTTTTCGGTTCACAAAGGCAAATGGCACTTGTGGGGGGTGGGAAGCAGGGAAAGTCCTGTCTCTTTGTCCTGCAGACTGCTGCCACTTTTGTGCCTTGCTGTCCCAAGCGGCTGGGCATCCTGGGGTAGGGGAGACAAAAGTAGAAGGGTGAGGGAGCGCAACTGGAGAACGCAAGAGGCTGTTCAGAGTTTGGGGTGCCGGTGGGTGGGGGTGTTGAGTACAAGCAGATGATTAAAGGGCTATAGTACCATCTAGTGGCAGATGAGCACCACGGCAAGCTGGTTTCTCTACTTGTCCTACTTAGACCTTTTCTATCTGCAGAGCAGTTACGCACCTGGAAAAGAGCAAAGGCAGCAGATAAATGGATCCCTACCAGCCCTGTTCTTTTGCTTGCACGGATCATGCCAGGGCCCCAGAATAGCCGCCGTGCTCTGGACTGAGCCGAATGCAAACAGCACCTCTCAAGCACTTTACAAACATTAATTTATCATCTCAGCAGCCCCTCGGGGGCAAAAAATCATCCCTGCTTTATAGATGCTGGGAGGCTGGAAGGGAGTGCCGCAGGGAGCAGGAGTGCCCGGTCGTAAGTTAAATGGATCGATTCCTCTTCCTTAAGACTTGAGTGGGAGTTGGTGGCTGAATGCAATTAGGGAGTTAAGGATACAGTTAATACCTCCCTTGGCGTCATTATCAATTCCTGGCCAGATTATATCTGTGAACATAGCACCATATGGAGCTAATGTTGCAGAAAGGGATGCCTGATACATTGGTTCCTTTTTAATCATGTATGTGTTTCTGTAGGACAGTTGCTCCTCTCCTCTCGTGCATGCTGATGGATGGGAGGAATGGGGAAGCTTTGGAACCAGGATTCGTACCGAGATCCAAAGTGCCCAGAAGGTTTCTGTAGGCAGTAGATTCCCAATAATGCCTGTCACTGCACCACCAGGAGTTAGGCTTTAGAGCTGAAAAAGCAACAGAAATGGCATCCAAAGTCTGTTCCTGTCTCTCTGAATTAATTGCTCCCCAAAGGTCCGTGTGGGCAGCTAACGCGTATTGAGCACTATTTTTTTCCCCCCCTTCTCCTCCTCTCCCCTTTCCACTGTCCACATAGAGGGAATGCGAATGGCTGTGATAAATGACTTCGGCACCAGGATCTTTCCCAGCCCCATCCCGCTTGGCAGGAAATGATTACAAGCCGCTGGGCGGTGTCTGTCTCCACCGTGTTTGGAGCGTGCGGAGGCCAACAAAGTCGAGAGCTGTTTGAGAAATGGGAGCCGGGATTGGTTTGGAAGGAAAAGGGTTTGGGGAGGCATCTTGTGCATTCTGCACCAGGCCAGAAGCACCTCTCGCTGCCCCCTCTTTCTGGTCCCAGCGGATGCTTTTGTTCTTCCGAGCAAAAGGCCTGTTTTACAGCTGACCTCCAGGGTGTTGTTGAGTAGCAGTGGGATCTTCCAAGAAGGCTCCTTGCTGCATCTCAACGATCTCTCTGACTTGGCAGAAGGTAGCGCGCTCCCTCGGCCCCATTTGTTGCTCTCCCTCCCACCGAGCGCTTCTCTCCTGTCGCATTGGGGTGAATCACGGCATTCGCTCCGAGTTCCTGACTCTCGGTGCTATTTGTCTTGTGCCCTGCATTAACATTTATCTCTGTTCCCTCCACTGAATGTTCTGTTCTTCACCAGGGGCGGCTTTGCTAAGGGGAGCCGATTCTCTCTGCATCCCCCAGTTGGTGGCAAGCAGGCTAGATATGAAGGACTGCACAGAGGTGCATGTGTGGAGGTGGCCAGGGGTGTAGCCATGGTGTTGCCCTTCTCTGCACCCTACCTTTGGGGGATTTCAGAGGGCTTCTCCTGCATGGCTAGCTGGGGAGATACACAGCCACCAGGCTATTCAGGAACCACCCGGTTCCCATGGAGCATGGGAGAGCCATATCACAGCTTGCCGGTCCTCTGTGTAAAACCCTTTTTTGTGTCTTGTTGGGAGGAGAGAGCAGAGCACTGATGGTCCCCAGGGCTTCCCAGCTGCAGAGCGGCAACTCATCCACCCCACACTGAGCGGGATTGCAGCTGTGTAACTCTTTGCAAGGACCTGGGAAGCCCACTGAGTGGGTAGGAGCGGCTGCTCACTGCCTCCAGCCCTTCAGTTGGAATTGGCTGGGGAGAATGGCTGAGCTAGGAGCTGGTCCTGTGTGCCCGCGTGCCTGGGTCTTCTGTTCATGCTGGGGCCGAGTTGTATGTGTACAGGCTGCAGGATGGGGCCTTGTCGGAACAGGCTTACGTGCTTCATCCATCACAGCGGTGCCCTATGGAGGTTCTTTGTGGGGTTTGTAAGAGGGGACACTGTTCCCATTATTTCTCTCACATTTCCCCCGGCATCCACTTCCCTTCACGTTCAGCTGGATTGCAGACGAATGCCTTGACCCTGGGCTAAGACTGGTTCTGATGTCAGCCAGTCCCAGCCTGGTGTAACAAAGGAAGTCAAGAGCCACTGCAGAGGAATAGGATCCTGAAGGAGGCCTTTGCTAAAGGCTGGGGAAGCCAGGGCTGCTTCCTGAGGGTGGGAGGACTTTCCAATCAGCTTGCTTTCTCCTCCCTCGCTGCCACCGAAGGAAGCAGATGTGAGCTACAGGAAGGACGGCAGGGGAGGGAATGGCTTGTTCCAGCTTGGATTCCACATGAAGGCGGTCTAGGGGGCAGCCGGCCCTCTAAGGCATGGGAAGGAGAGGTGATGCTGATGGTCCAGATGTAGCCAATGCTTTGTTGCAGGCTCAGCCTGGGTCTGTCCTTCCAAACCTACGTTGCCTGCCATGTGAGGCAGCTCTCCTGAGACCGAGGTACCTGAGAGCGAGTGCAAGACCCTGTGGCCCCAGCCCTGCATGGACAAAACTCGACCCGCCGGAGCAGGCCTGGCAGGATGGGTGTTTGCAAAATACAAGGCAGAGCACTGGCTTGACGTTGGTCTGATGGCATCAGCATTACCTGCCTGGGGCAGGTGGGGGTAGTTTCTTGTGTTGTGCATGAAGGCCTGGCTGCTGGGACTGGCTAACTCCTCTCAATTCGGAGGCACCCACTAGGCCTTCTGATAAAGGGTTAAATAAACACACAGCTGTGAAGAGATGCAAATAGGGGGCTCTGCCTGAGCAGGGAAAGGGCTGGAAGAGTAGCATGCTCTGCTGTGCGCTGGCTGCATCCTCTCCGCCCTGCTCTCACATGATGGATGTGGGCCTCTCCTCTTTGTGGCCGCAGTGAGGGCTGAAGACCCCCTGATGTCCCTGTGGTGCTTGCTAGCTGAAAGCAAAAAAGGGGTCGGATAACTACGAGGACCAGCTCTGGCTCAAGGCGCTAAGAGAGGGAGAATGGGGATTGTCACTTTGTGCCAGTGACTCACAGGCTCTTCCTGCAGACCTTTTATTTTGGAAAAGCAGTGCTTCTCCCTATGACAACCAGGTGCTTTCCTTATCCCCATGGGATGAATTGGCCAAGGAAAGTTGCACCCTACAGCAGCAGGAGCAAGAGCGAGCAGGGCCACAAGACAGCCCGGAGCAAACGGAGCCCAAATGGTCTCCACAACCAGAGCAAGTCTTCTCAGCAGGACATGGGACAAGCTGAGCTGCCAGCGGCCCTGACGTGAGTCTGGCTAGCTCCAAAGAAGAGGAACAGAGATGCTGAAGCCACAGGGATGAGCGAGGGCTGAAGCCTACACTCCACCTTGCAGGAAGTCCCTCTCGATGGAGCACCGAGCAGCTTTGCAGCCTTCTGGTTTCCCAGCATCACTCCAGAGCATCCCCTTTTTATCAGGACTTTTCCAGGTTAAGGGCATGGTGGGCAGAGCTGCCAAATGGAGCAGCTCTTGCATATGTTCC